ATTTGTTCAATAATATTTTTAATATCAATTTTTCGAGCAACGTTGTCAATAATATCAATTTTATTAATAATATCGATTTTACTCACTGCTTCAATGTTATTAATAGTATCAATTTTATCAAGAACATCAGTACTATCAATAATATCAATTTGATTAAAGTTCTCAATGTGTGTGTTATTAATAGTATCAATCTTATCAGTATCATCAACTTTATCAGTAGCATCATTTTATCGAAAATATCAATTTTATTAATAACATCGATTTTATTAATGATTCGTAATTTTATTAATTGCATGAATTTTATCAGATTTCAGACTTGAAAGATTCTGGTCTTCGGCAATATTTGAAGGAAGAGTCTCTCGGGATACGTTAACGAACAGTGTTTCCGGTTGCTAATTTTCGGGACACCCCGTACAGGGCGAAGAATGCGCGGATGAGTTTTCCGATCCGGGGGCGAGAATTCCATCGAGCGAGCGCAGATCGATAGTACAGGGTGCGGAAGAAGACGCTGCGGAACGATGACGAGACGAAATTTGGAAATGCGTCGTTGGCGGCTGTGCTTTGAGGACGCAAAGATCGTTCTAAGTAGGTGTCGCGCAGTGGTCTATTTTCGCAGAAAGCTGGCCAAAATTCATAATTACATATGCGAAATTTTACAAAAATCAGAGCACCCTTTTGACTCTAAAAACGCAAGATTTCAATGAAAGATCAGAAAAAATCGGTCTCTACCAACATATGAGCACGTTGAAATCATAGTTATGTAAACATTTTTGTGTCATGTCCGAAAATATCATCTGTACACGACAAAATGTTCAAACGACGAGTGAAAGAAATTAGGAAATTACTATAAACTAAGATAACTCGAAATTATCTTAACAATAAATTTGGTCAGTGAACAATTTATGTAATTTAACCCTTCAAAGTACTTTCAAAATTAACGATAAGACCTTAGACCGAATTGCATTTAAACAAACTATATACACGATACGATCATAAATAATCTATTAATAATGAACAGCAAAATCGATTATAAATATTGTTTGAAATAAAGAATGCCAGCTAAATAACTATGACCTTGGCTGTCTCGAAATATCGCCAAAAGTAGTAGTATCTTGAGACGACCGGATACTAAAAATCGAGAAATAAGCCAAAAAATATTACTCTGGGACGAATCGAAGGCGAGTTGTATTTCTTCCGACGGACCGCGATGCGTTTTGTACATTATAAATGACAGCGAATTTCAGCAATTTAATTACTCCGACTTTTGTCCCGCTGGAGCAGCGATCGGGACCAGCCCGCGTCGCTGCGCCGCGCCGGACACAGCGAGAGGAGAGAACAGCTGGCGCCTCGCGGCGTTGCATTTTCGTCGAATCGACCGTAGGCCCGCTTTGTACGCGCGCAGAAAAATTCAATACGGCGGGCAAACGTAGCGAGAGAACGTAGAGAGACAGAACGGAGCGACGCGCCGACCGACGAACCAACGAACGAACGAACGATATATCCCGTCGTCGTCGTCGTCGGATTCTTTCGTCGGCGGAACGCAGGACGCCGGTTCCCAGAAGCCGCGTGTGCAAGCCCCAGCTGGCCAACAGAAAGAGATCGGAGATTCCGCGCGCTTGGAATTAATATTAGACGGCGACGAGTTGCGCGCCATCGAAAAAACCCGAGCTAACGAAACGTATGCGCGCGCGTGCACGCATATGCACGCATCCAGACCGAGAGCTTTTGTGCGCGGATATTCGCCGGCACGCTGCTAACTAAAGTGTTTCGCTTCGAAATGATCACGATTCCGAGGAATCGAGGAAATCCATCCGCGAACAAGCCATCTTTATTTTTTTCTCGTTTAAAGCTATATTTGCATTTAGGTTCTGTATCTCCATAATTTCTAGATTCACCCTGTATGTGTTTGGAGATTACAAGTTTTTAGTGACTGATTATTGGAATATCATTTCTGTATCTTTATTGTTTTATATTTTTTGTGTCTTTATACTTTTTTAAGGTGATGTTATATTTGCACAATTTCTAGATTCACCCTATATATTTTTAGGGTTTACAAGCTTTTAGTGACCGATTATTGGAATATTATTTCAGTGTCTTTATAGTTTTTTTGTTAACGCTGCATACTGCATGTTGTTTCTTTACGGTAATGCTATATCTGCACAATTCCTAGTCACCCTGTATATTTTTGGAGTTCACAAGTTTTTAGAGACCGATTGTTGGAATATTATTTCTGTGTCTTTATAGTTTTTTTGTTAACGCTGCATACTGCATGTTGTTTCTTTACGGTAATGCTATATCTGCACAATTCCTAGTCACCCTGTATATTTTTGGAGTTCACAAGTTTTTAGAGACCGATTATTGGATTATTATTTCTGTGTCTTTATACTTTTTTGATTGACGCTATTTCTGCATGTTGATTTTTTTAAATGAACACTGTATCCTCACAAATCCTAGTCACCCTGTATATTTTTGGATTTTACAAGTTTTTAGTGACCGTTATTAGAATATTATTTCAGTGTCTTTATAGTTTTTTGGTTAACTCTGCATACTGCATGTTGTTTCTTTAGGGTAATGCTATATCTGCACAATTCCTAGTCACCCTGTATATTTTTGGAGTTCACAAGTTTGTAGTGACCGATTATTGGAATATTATTTCAGTGTCTTTATAGTTTTTTTGTTAAATCTGCATACTGCATGTTGTTTCTTTAGGGTAATGCTATATCTGCACAATTCCTAGTCACCCTGTATATTTTTGGAGTTTCCGAGTTTGTAGTGACCGATTATTGGAATATTATTTTTGTATAGCGCGAAGAAGCTTTTGAATGCAGAACTAACTATTCTATACATTACTGCCACACGATACGACGTTACATCTAAGGTCACGACCATGTGACTCCTGCATTGTACCGATTAAATTTATCAATACAATAAATAGTGAAGTGCATGTGACCTCAGGACCCGAAGATTTCTCTCGGCATTTTTAATGACTGCGATATTATAGGCGCGAGTAGCCGAATTTGTACTGGTGTCTAAAACTACCCTAATTTAAAGTTGTATAGTCCACTCGTGCCATCGACGACACCTATTTGTTTTTATTTTTCGAGGTACATGGGTAAACGAAATTTAAAACATTGAATCAGTTCCATTGATTAATAATAAAATTTAATTATGGATTTATATAAGGTTTATTAGATTAACTTCAAGTATGATTTTTGTCTAAATAATACAAACAAATTTCTAACCCGTTCTCCGCAAAACTATGTTTTTCGAAACTATGGTAAATTGTTATCTAGATCAATATTTATTCGATCGATCAGCGTAAAAAATGCGATCGGAATTCGATCTGGAGAATTGCTGGTGATCGATAACCCGGTCGAAATCCGTCCCGATGCGTGGAACTATAATATCGACCGCAGGTAGCAGAGACTCTTTGTGTCCGGCAGTCAAAAATCACGTCCGCGGCAACGAACCCCCAACGCGAGAGCCGTCTTGAACCGTTTGGCAAGCGTTCAACTGGTCTTTGAAGAAGGTAAGACCTTTGTGCGCGCCAGTCTGCATTACATAAATCAGCCGGGTAATGAAAATAACGAATTTCCATATACGACATTGAACCTGTCTGCGAGAGGCGGCCGACGCGACCGAGTACATCATCCAAGGCTAAGGGAACACTAAATCAACCGGCGTATATCGTAAACGGCCGCCGGGGTGGGGGGCAGGAACGCTAATTTCGTGGACGGTAACGCGGCCGCAAAAACGTACTGCCGATTAGATACCAGAAATCCATTAGCGGCGAAGAATCAGGAAGCAAGGCCCGGCAGCCATTCATCGTGCCCGAAACCCGGCAAAAAATCGCTCGCGGTCGTAGGGGGTCCGGAATAATTATATTCGGTGCTGGGCGGCGGCGGAACGGTGGGGGGGGGGGCAGTTAGGCTCGTTTCTTATCGGAGTTTCCGCGGACCGGGCAAACACGCGATAACGCGGGTTACTTTTTTCCGTGTCGCGAAGACGAGGAAGAATAAGGGAAAGAGAGAGAAAGAGTCAGAAAAAAGAGAGAGAGTCAAAGAGAGAAAAAAAATCAGAAAAAAGAGAGAGAGTCAGAGAGAGAAAAAAAATCAGGAAAAAGAGAGTCAGAGAGAGAAAAAAAATCAGAAAAAGAGAGAGAGTCAGAGAGAAAAAAAAATCAGAAAAAGAGAGAAAGTCAGAGAGAAAAAAAGAGTCAGAAAAAAGAGAGAGAGTCAGAGAGAAAAAAGAGAGAGAAAGAGAGAGACCCACAGTGGCGCAAGTCGAAGTACTAACTGGATGAAACTCTTTCGATGTTTACTGTCACGTGTCCCTTACATTTACTACAACAAATGAATTGTATTTATTATTTCATATGTAGCATGTTTATTAACAATTATTTAATATAACATTTTTCAGCAAAGAAATATACTAATATCGATGGAAAAATAATAAAATAAGGTAAAATAAAATAAAACAATATCATGTTAAGTTAAATGAAATAAAATTACGTTAGATTGAATTAAATAAAATTATGTTGAAGTGTAAATTAAATTTTTAATAAATGTATTATAAGTCATCATTTATCAGACTGGATTCTTTTTCACCAGACAAAAGGGTGTGAAAACCTTCACGTTTTTGAATTTTATATATGGACGTATTTCACGAAGGCGATTAAGGCTGTGGCATCGATATTAATATTCTGATTGTGCGAACGTTACTTCACACGACGATTGTATTTTCTGTACGAAATTAAGTAACGAGTTTCGTCCACCTAATTAACATTAATCGGAACGCTGCGCGACCGCGAGAGAGTCGTGCTAATTCCGGCATTACGGCGAGGCAAAAATGGCGGTTGTCGGAGGCCTGCGGTGTCGGCGGCCTGGCCGGTCGGGCCGGGTCGGGTCGGGCCGACCCCGCGCCCCGTTGTTCGCTACCTCGAAAAAAGGAAACGCGAGGAGGAGAGTTCGACGAGCAGCAGAAGAAGACGAAGAGGTAGGAGGTGGAGGACGACGAAGAAGCAGAAGAAGAAGGAGGAGAAAAAGAAAACGAAGAAGAAAGAGGGAGAGGGAGAAAGAGAGAGAGTGAGAGAGAGAGCTGCTCGCGGCGGCTCACTCCGAGCAAAAAAGCTTCGGGTACACTTTCGCCGACCTCGTGGTGGCGAGCGCGCGCACCCGCGCCCGCTCGGCTCTCGCGACAAAGGCTGCTTGATTCAAGGTCCCACGCACACACGCGGCCACGCATACGCCGGCCGATTCGTACGCGCGGCCGCACCAATGCACGCGTTCCCGTCCGAGCGCATGCCGCCATCGGCGTGTTCGACGGATTCGGGGCCCCGCGCCTCGCGACGCGACGCGAATAAGAGCTGTAGTCGACTTTCCGCTTTCCCCCGTTACGTCTCGCCCTCGTCAACGAGCGGTTTACGCTGTGTTTATGGGACCTTGCGGTCTTCCGATCCGCGGCCACTAGGGCAAGGGTCCCAGTTACCGAAGCATTCAGGATAACTTTCCGTTCGCGTCTATGTACTTTCAGTTGAAATTCACCCGAGATTTAACTTCTCCTGGCATTTCATAGTGTTCTGTTCTCTAGTTATGCGGCTAAATGTATTCGGAACGTTCGATTCAACATTCATATGAAATAAATGATGAATGAAAAGAATTTCTTGGTTAACGTTATAGAATTCTTAGAGTCATACTGTATATTTTTGGTATTTCTGTATCCTTGTTTTTTGGTCCACGTTATAACTGCATGATGTGTTTAGGGTAATGCTGTATCTGCGTAATTCCTAGAGTCACCCTATATATTTTTGGCATTTACGGATTTTTAGTGACTGATTATTGAAAAATTATTTCGGTATCTTTATTGTTTTTTAATTAACGCTACACCTACATGCTGTTTTTTTAGGGTAATTTATATCTGTACAATTCGTGGAGTCACTCTGTATATTTTTGGAATATACAAGTTAGATGACTGATGCTGCGAAAAGCCGATGACTTTCAAATATTTCTAAAATCAATTTGTTTCTCCTTCATTTTTTAATATATTTATACAGAATTAACATTCTGACTAACCTATCCAACTCAAATTGTACTGTTAAAGTATATAAATTGTATCAAACATAGGGTATGAACGCGAACCTAAAAAGTTTTCATAAAATCGGGAAAGTATTTCGGTTCAATTAAATGAAAATTACAAGGCAACGTTGCAATCTCCTTCAACATCTTAATAGAATTAAGAAATATACAAGTACCGTGAAAATTAATGAATAGAAATCACATTTCATATAATTCTGTCACCTACATGTGCGTGAAGATATTGGAACCTAATTCGCGACACCTGCTTGCGACAAGCGTACTGATCGCGATCTTGTCATACCGCCATCTACCATAAGCATTCGAAGATTTTGCAATTGTCCTACTCCTACTCGTTAGTAGACGCGCTGGATTTTATGCACTCATGGCAAAATTGAATAGCCGAAATATAAACTTGCGAAGATTTTCAGAAGAGTTTAATATTAATTGTTGCACTATTTACAACTCATCGAAGTAATCGAAGGAAACAATTTATTTTTATGTAATGTCTGTTTTTCACAGTCGTCTTGGAAAATTTTTGTTTTGCACAAAGATCCGCGATCTACTCGTTAGTCACTCTTAAAACGATCTCTGACAAAGCTGGCTAAACTCAAGATATCACTAAATTCTATCGGGTCGTTCGGAAAGTAATTTCATGTTTTTATCAACAGAGACATTAGTTGTGCTTTTAATCGACCAACGTAATAAGAGTATAATAATAAGAGTAATATAGTATATATTTTATAATATTATATAATATTATTATATAATTAATTTCATTTCATTATATAATTAATTATTATATTATATAATATTATATAATAACGTAATATAGACTGTCCAGAGAGGCTGTGACTAAACTTATTCCATATGTCACTAAGGTCAAATAGATGACAAAGAATTAACATAGAATTAAATAAAATTTTCTAGAAATAAGTCTGGAAATGTCGGCAGGCAAACTGTAATTGTCGACACGGTTTAGAACGAAGTTGACTGCAACTAATGCCTCTGCCGGTAAGAAAACGAGATCGCTTTCCGAACAAGCCAATACATACTTCGAGGACTCTAACCTAGCGAAGACATCGACCGCCACGTGAAATCGCCTGCAGCGGGCATCAAATTTCAAGTCGTAACTTTCGAGTAACAGCAAAATTTAAAGAAGGTACTATAGTGATTGTCTAACAGGTTAGTTCTTCTGTGATCTAAATAAATATTCGAGTCGTTTAGTTCAGTCTGAAAAAAAGTTACGCCGTTTTCCAAGTATCCTTAACCTCTTATTCTATGATATCGTGTCAGACTCGATTTGGATCATAGTCTACTAAATACGGATATGTTATTCGCATCTCATAAATCGAAACGAAATTCTAACCTTCTGTCGTGAATATTTAAACGTCGAAATAAAGTACGGGAAACATTAAATATAAACAATCTATCTGATGCAGGAATTTATAAGCGACAAAGAAGTGTTAATCAACGTAGCTGTGAAAGAGATCATAGTGCAAGGAGTTAAATACGCCACTGTATACGGTGTAAGAGTGCAAAGGTGGAAGTTTCGCGTTCGGCAAGTTGAACGAGGAAGACCGGGAGCACGCGTCTATCAATGGACAGGCCGCAAAGACAAGAAGATCGCGGCGGGATAGTGGAAGCGAGAGGGGGCAGCAGACGCGAAGTAAACCGCAGGCGAAAAACGGTGACACGCGGTGATCGTAAAGCAGTATTTACTCGCTTGTTAAGTAGCAATAAATAGCGAAGAAAGAGGCCGTGATAGCTGACATCACCCACTTGCTCGAGTCATAACAATACTGTTTTTGTAGCGGCCGATTACTAGCATGGTCGCGGGCTATAACTTATTCATCCGCGGCGGAAGAGGACGGCGAGAGAGCGACCGAGAGAGAGAGAGAGAAAGAGAGAGAGAGAGGAACTCTCTGGCACACTACTACGCCATTGATAACCTCTGCGACGACGTGTGCTCGCAGAGAGCGTCGAGACGCACCGTTAGGCGTTCCGATTATCGATCCACGATTCGTCAAACAAGCCGGTGTCCCGGAACCGGTTCGACCCTGAAGGACCGACTACGCTGGACGACGCACAGTGTGATATTCCGACAACCTACGATTTCATTCCGAAATTGAATATTTTTTCAAAAGTGTCGGCTCTAATTTCAAGGCATTATCTCGGTGAGTCGAAGTAACCTGGTTGTCCCGATTTCGGGTCACGTCCCCATTAATGATCAGCTTGCATTTCACGAATTGTTACGAATATTAGATTTACACAACAGTCGTGAAAGAAAATATGTTTAAATTATTTTAACGTTTGCTCGCGATTGTTGAACAAGCCGGGGACTAAACTGGAGACATAACCTGATTTGGTACTGCGAATACGACACGGGAGGCAATGAACTAATAATAATACTTGCTCCAATAATTTAATTTATTCAAGCATTTTCAATCTTGATTTTGAATTTTGCAGAATTGTAAAATGAGGAAATGGTTATTTCGACCGCGGAAGGTTTAGTGTTAATTCTTTTATCGTGCTAGCTAACTGCAATGTTTTTGAAACAATTGTTCACAGCCATTATCTAAATTAATCAAAGAATTTAAATCGCATGGTCCAATTATATTGTCCATCGTGTTTTATTCAGAATTAGTTTTACTTAGAATTCAATTAATTTCAATCAGAATTAGGTCATGCGAGAGATGCTTATGGACGAATAGTCGCAAAAGCTAGTGATCGAGGATTCGGTGGTCCTGGATTATCGAAATATCGCGCCATGCGACGGTGACCCGGCTTTAGGCGAGAAGAGGGTCACTTGTTGCTGCGTACCCGGCGTCGAAATCGCCTGGACGCGGGTCCCGTGGGTCGGGGACGGGCGAACCGACGCGACGGTTTTACGGCACTGCGTATACCGGTGCTCTGGCTGCCTACGGCTTTGCTCGCTGCCCAGACGAAACGCACTCGAGTGCGCACTGATTCGCGCACGAACACGAGGACCGCACCGTATGCACGCGAGCACGTACCCGCTCGCCAACACACGCAGCCCCTCGCACAGCGGACCACAGCTGGTGCGCGCTGGACGGACGCCGCGCCGTAGCCCTATACAGGGTGTCCCGAGTGATTAGCGCGCGAAACGTCGCGTCGCTTCGCGGGTCGCCGGAGAACGTGAGAAGCGCGGAGAATAGTCTAGCTATTGTTCGTGGAGGACCCCGACCGCCCGCACAGTAGGCCGGATCGAAGATTTTAGCGACATTTTAACAAAAAATTAATCTCGTATCGATGTCCAGTCAATCTTTATTGCTTGTTAAATATCCATGATCCTCGGAAATGAAAATGTTAATCGAATTGATCAGAGATGATTGATCAGTTGACACGAACACATCAAGTTGGAACCGATATTATATTGGTTCCATAACTGTTATTTTTCGGTTCTCAGTTTCGGTTCTGCGCGGTAGACAAAAACACCCGGCATACATAAACGCGGCTTGTTAGTAATACGAAGTAGATTAGGCTAATCGACGCTCTACCGTGCTCGACACATTTTACTGCGAATTTTACTTGAAGGAGGTTGATACTTCCGAACTCTTGTGCAGAAGATGATCATTTGATCAGATATCGATCATTTGGAGGGGAGGGGGGATATAGAAACGTCCACAATTTTTAATAAAATGCGATGAGACACTGTTCAATCTTTGATCGAAAATCGTTTTGGGGTACACTAAAGCTAACCATGAGGACACGAATGTTCGGTTAACAGAACAGTTAACCTAATTGATTAATTGTAAATCACAAGTATACTCATTGTAAGTATATGACAATTTGTTTGTAAGATGAGTATACTTGTCACGATGGAGTAGCAATTTTTTGTGTAAGACAAGTACAGTAAATTCTCCCCAATTGTCTCTCAGCTTGGAGACAAAAATGAATAACTGAACAACTTGGGAAGTGGAGATACGATTATTCGAACCTCGCCGATTGTCAACAACTAAAAAAACGAGTCGCAGGGATCGAATAATCATATCTCCGCTTCCCAAGTTGTCAATTTTTGGTTTGCAAGCTGTGGGACAATTGGGGAGAATTTACTGTATACTGGTCACGACAAAGAGGCAACCTTTCGTTTAACGGCGATTATACTCGTCATAATTGTCTCGTCATAAATGGCTATTATTTTATGTAAGACGAGTATACTCGTCACGAGTAAATGTTTATTTTATGTGAGACGAATATGCTCGTCACGAATAAATGTCTATTACTTTATGTAAGGCATGTATACTTGTCACGAATAAATGTCTGTCATTTTGTGTAAGACGAGTATACTCGTCACGAATAAATGTCTATTATTTTATGTAAGACGAGTATACTCGTCACGAATAAATACCTCTTATTTTATGTAAGACGAATATACTCGTCACGAATAAATGTCTATTATTTTATGTAAGACGAGTATACTCGTCACGAATAAATACCTCTTATTTTATGTAAGACGAATATACTCGTCGCGAATAAATGTCTATTATTTTATGTAAGACGAGTATACTCGTCACGAATAAATACCTCTTATTTTATGTAAGACGAATATACTCGTCGCGAATAAATGTCTATTATTTTATGTAAGACGAGTATACTCGTCACGAATAAATACCTCTTATTTTATGTAAGACGAATATACTCGTCACGAATAAATGTCTCTTATTCTATGTAAGACGAGTATACTCGTCACGAATAAATGTCCACTATTTTATGTGAGACGAGTATACTCGTCATGAAAGAACGTAACACCATGTAGCGTCACAATGTAGTCACACAGTTTTAAAAACACGCGATCACAGGTAAGTATATGTGGATTAAGCTGTGCACATGTGAAACGTGACTGGAGAATGATGTGAAAAAGTGCCTCAACTATAGTTCGCGTGAAAGTGCCTCAGAGAGTTATAGTTACCCTACGTGTGCAACAAGAAAATGTTCGTTTACGTATCTAGTGAAAGAAGTGAGAACTGTCAACGAAGAAGTGAACAAATGGATAACAAACAACCCTAAACAAAATGGAGCATTGGATGCTCGCACGAACAACCGGTACAAAGCCTCATAAATCTTAAGCGTTTCAAACTTCGTGAAAGAACGAAAGATCGCAGCGAACGCCACAATGAACGCTGTTCAGCGCCGACAGAACTGTGAAACCCATCAACGAGGCCTGTCCGCGGACACAGGAGTGAAAAATCCGTACTTGAAGTTCGTACAATGACCCCAAAACCAGTGAAGTCACGTCCCGAACGAGACCGACGACTGGCATCGGTGCAGTCACGCATATGTGACAGCAGCCACCTAAATACGTCAGGACCTCGCTTATGCAAACACGTCGGGGGGACAAAGCAGTCCAAATAATCTACGATCTGCGACAATGAAGCCAGTATTAACCTAGTATTTTGACTAGGTTCCCCGGCTAGTTTTGATAGCGGGAGCCGACCGTACCGAAAGAAGATCGAACAGTTTTGAGTGAACCGTTCGGCTACCTACGGAAAGTCCATCAGTAGAGAGCTATGAGTTTCACTGTTAACACTATACCCACAGAGATCTGAAAGCGACCAACAAGTGTCACCTTATAGGGATTACAAGGTGGAATTTATTTAAATTGTTTAGAAGTTTTTTAATAGTGTATGCATGAGTGTACAAATACTCGATTCTTATTGGTCACTGTTTTTCGTTAATAACTCGTTAACGGTGCCTCGGAGAACATTTTTGTAAAGGCAAAAGTTGCTCCAAATGACCCGTGGAACCCGCCACTTTCGGATTGCGAGACATTTTTGGGACACCCTGTATATTCGACAATTTCTAATGGAAGCAGCCCTACGACTTCAATAATTATGAAATAAAAAATGTGAAACCGGTCATTTCACCGACGGTGGTAGCTGTAGTGTTAATCACTGGATCTTTGTGCAAAAGGAAAATGATTCTCGACCATTGCAACAGGAAGGAGACGAATAGAAATTTCATTCTCCACCAAAAAATTTGGTCATCGCTTGAAGGTGAATATCTTCATCGTTTTGATTTCTAATTATCAATTTCTGTCGTAAATACATAAAAGTCGCTCTGAACCCTTTCGCGAGTACGGCCGAAGATGACCTGTCAAAACGTGTTGGCCCAAAGAGAGCGGGGACCTGTGCATGCGGCTACTTAACCCAGACCTAGTTAGTTAATTAGTTAGTTATTTTCTTAAATTCACCCCAAGTGGCCAGACGGTTCTGACATACAAGAGGGACCAAATGGTCCCTTCTCTACCTTGTTTAACACTAGATTTACGGAGCACAAAAAAAACAGCTGTTTTATATCAGTTTATAAAACTAATAATAAGACATTTATTCTGATTTTGAACACAAGTGTTACTGTAACATTTGCCGTTAAGTAACATATAAATTGAATAAATGACTCATAAATGTATCTTTACGATATGAATAATCGTAAATTAAAAAAATTAGTGACCCGTCATTTCGACACAAATCTAGTGTTAAGGGTTAACCCAGACCTAACCCAAAGCTTTTCATTGCTGCGAAACAGCAATGCCTCCTCGTCAGCCACGCGCACTTTCGAAAATTCCTTACTCGCGAAAGGGTTGATCGCAAACGAGGACAACGCGAGGAGGCCCGTCTCGTGTCCGTGAATCGTTTGAAATTTGGAAAGCGAAGCGGGAAGAGGCTCACCCCCGAGACCGGCGACTATTGTCCCACCCAATACACGCGGCGCGCCGTATATGCACACGCACGCACGTG